TGCATATTATCTATAGTGCTTTAAAAAAACTGTATTTTCATTGTATATTATTTGCTTTTATTAGAACTAGAAAACATGCTTTGTTAGAGAAAAATGACTGAGTTGAGTTTCCAGAACCTTCACATCAGCTACAGGTGAGAGAGATAGGAAAGACCAAAAGAAGAAAACTTCTGAAATATAAATGTTGCTTTGAAAAGAATAGGAAAAGTCTTCTTGACCGTTTTCAGAATGTGGAATATAGACAACTGAATAACAGCTTCTGAAAGACACAAAGTGACAGGAACCCAAGTGGAACAAAATAAAAAATAATGGATAATTACAATACACATAGACAGCTAAAAATGAAAGCACATGTGGATATATGTGTATAAATTAAAGCATGACAAAACACAAATACAAAATTTTCCAAGCTGTAGCTGCTATATAACAAAACAAATAAGTTCTTCAACACTGCAGATAATAATTGATGCAGTCTGCAGGATTGCATCTCATTTCCTACTTATTCTTATCAGATTGGATAATTGTTCATGAATGGCAGACATTAATCCACAAGTTATGTTTGTACATCTATGCAGTCCATTTTCTTCACTTGCCTGTTGCAGGAGTGAAGATCTTCAGTGGTTCTGTCTGGTTATGGTGATGGTTGCCTTGCAGTCACAAAAATGGGGTGACTACTTTTGCACTGTCACCTGTAATTGCTCTTGGTTCCAAAATGAGCGAAAGCCATGGCTGCAGCAACTGAAGTCTGGGAAACAAAACTGGAGTTTCAGGGAGGTTTGGCACAAGGAGGCAAGCCCCCCCTTCTATTTTGGCAAAAGCAAACTCAAAACCTGAATGCCAGTTCACCTTAGCATGCGGTTCTTGTCCTTTGGCAGCTGAATCAGCAGTATTGATGCCCGTGGTTTTTTTTTGCTGTAAATTCATTGCTATACCGAAAGGAGCTGACAATGACTTGCTAAAAGATAGGGCATGCGGGGGGGGGGGGGAAACATGGCAAAGAAGTGGATCTGGTTTGAACAATCTCCTCCTCCTGTCACTATGCAGACTTTAAAATGTAGTACATTATATTGAAAAGGGACGCGGGTGGCGCTGTGGGTTAAACCACTGAGCCTAAGGCTTGCCGATCGGAAGGTCGGTGGTTTGAATCCCCGCAACGGGGTGAGCTCCAGTTGCTTGGTCCCTGCTCCTGCCAACCTAGCAGTTCGAAAGCACGTCAAACTGCAAGTAGATAAATAGGTATCTCTCTGGCAGGAAGGTAAACGGTGTTTCCGTGCGCTGCTCTGGTTCGCCAGAAGCGGCTTAGTCATGCTGGCCACATGACCCGGAAGCAGCTCCCTCGGCCAATAAAGCGAGATGAGCGCTGCAACCCCAGAGTCGTCCGTGACTGGACCTAATGGTCAGGGCTCCTTTACCTTTTACATTATATTGATACTGTCCTGCATCAACTTCTTGCCTTGCTGTGGAGATGATGGAAGTGTGACTTCCTGTATCTAGCTTTAATTCTGGAATCAGAGCAGTGCCATTAATAGATTAAGTAGCAGCTTTACAGGCCCTCTTATATTCCTTCTTGACTTGGAGGAGCTAACGAGGTGAGGACCAGGCTGGATATGGAAGGTTCTTCTCTGAGGATCTGCTGTTCTGCATTTCGTCATGTGGAGCAGTGGTTAGCAGTTCTTCACAGAAGGTTCTTGACTGTGGGACTGTGCCTATGTCATTCACCACATGCGACCAAGGTCAGCAGTCCTTGACAATGGAGGATTCTGGAAGTCCTTTTGCTGTGGTGGTCTGTTTTGTCATGGAGCTAAAATACAAAATAATTAACTAGTTAATTTTGACGTCATTTCCCTGGGATGCAACCATGGGCAACCATAAGTGATATTCGCTGATGTTTTTGACTTGGTTGTCAGTGTCATTTTGATTTAAATACACTCTCCACAGTTTTCCTATCAGGACATATTCTCAGGATATTCAGACACCCATCTTTGACACCCAGGCAAATGAGAAGCATGTCTAGAAGGCCGTGGAGGTGTAGCCAGGTTTAGAGTCGCAGGCGGAACGCCACTCGTTAAGCCACACACATCCTAAGCCACTGACAGGAACTATCAAGAGAGACAAAGGGAAATAAAAACGCTGAAGAAATATGAGCTGACTCCTGCTCAAGCTGCACATTACAATCAGTTGTAGGATCCTTCCTCCACCCCATCTTTTTTATTCACTCGTATTTATTTAATGCATTTAAACCTATTTTGCAAGGAATTCTGCCCTTGTGAGGAGGCTCGTAGAAAATGTTTAAAACATAAAAACACAATAGCAAAAAATAAGTAATAAAATACAATTCCATAATTAAAAGCCATCACCACAGGTTAGTATAATAATATATAATGCAACTCAAAATATGAAAGCTTGAGGCAATTTCTTTTTCATGCACAGAAAATGGATTCAACATGGTCCAGTGCAATGCAGAACAAACTTTACAGTATGTGATGGATGTAAGAAGAAGAAAAGACTCGTGGGACTTGCAGTTCAGTGTTGCATCTAGTTGGGCCTTCGTGTTTGTGCTCAATCTTGAGTCGGTTGGTTCTTCCCACTCCCAGGACCTGCGTTCTGTTCCTCTAATGTGCAGAGCTGCTCTGGCAAGTATTGCTTCTGGTGAAGAGACAGGCAGGAATTTCACACAACAATTGGTGCCATGGAGAACCTTCTCTGTACAGTTTCAGTTTTCCTATCAGCTACATGTCTCCTTTTCTTCTCCTTTCTCCACTTTTCATTTCTTTAGTCCCCTGTTATCTACTTTTACATTTCCTTATGCCAGTCTTTGTGTGTTTATTTTTTCCCTGTCAAATCACATCCTGATTGGCAGTGGCCTTTTGTCTTAAGAGCGCCTGAAAACAACCTCAGGGTTCAAACAGCCCTTATGTCCCAGCTTGATCACTGAGACCATCCGCAGGAGCATCACTGGTGGTTCCCTGAGTTGGCCAGGCTCATTTGACAGCAACAAGAAACCAAGCCTGTTGTGTCATCAGCCCAGGCTGTGCAATCCTCTGCCAACAGAGATTCAGCAGGCGCCTTCTGTGCCAACTTTTAAACACCTGCTGGAAACATTTCTACTCTGCCAGGCCTAGACAGGCAATTAAGAGTACATCCTTCCACAATGGTTCATTGATGTCTGTATTTAACTTTTTCAATGGGTTTTAGTGTATGGTTTTATTTTATTGCTGTAAACTGCTTTGATTTTTTTTAAAAAAATGATGCAGTGGTATACAATTTAAATAAATAAATAAATAAGGCAGCAAGCTTAATGCACATGGCTGCTGATGTTGCTGTGCCGGCAAGGGTCGCAGTGCCACAGATTGACTCTATTTGGGGGGCACACTGTGGGAATCGGCTTGGCTAGCTGCCAGTTCCATGACCCAGCTTGACCCTGGTTCCAGCTTCCACCCTACTGTTCATTCCAGCTGGATACCCTCCCAGCACCGACCCACATGGAAAAGAAAGGAGCTTGTGGAACGGAAGTGCCTGAACTAAAGGAATGAGGGGGCATGTAAGTCGGGATGGTGGAAGGAGCTGGGCCTTTGCACTCAGGCTGAGCCCTAAGACTGGACGTTCAGATGCCGCGTGTAGAAGGGAGAGAACTCTGAAGTGACAGGGAAGTGATACTGAGACGGTATCTCAGCTGTGCTAAATGTTGTCATGGCAACCTGTGCCATGGAGGGTGGAGGCTTACATGATAGCAGCTTTTTCAATACAGAAGCCTTGTCTGGGTTGTCACACGGTTTCATTTCTCCACACCAAAACTCAACTTCTTAAAAGTTTGTAGAACAATGGATCACAGTCCATTCTTAGAGCACTCCTTACAATACAGTGGTACCTCCAGTTACAAACTTAATTCGTTCTGGAGGTCCATTCTCAACCCGAAACTACTCATAACATGAGGCGCATTTTGCTAATGGTGCTTCCTGTTGCTGCTGCGCTGCCGGCGCACGACTTCCGTTTGCATCCCGGGGCAAAGGCCACAACTGGGAGCATCTACTTCCGGGTTAGCGGAGCTTGTAACCCGCATCGTTTGCAAGGGGGACGGTACATAACATGAGGTTCTATTGTACTGAAGACTGTTTCAGATGTTCAGGTCAGCAGAGGGGGCCTTCTCAGTAGTTCCTATGAAGTTTGGGGTGGTGGCAGCCCAGGAGAGGACATTCTGTGTGGCAGTCCCCAAGTTGTGGATGTTTTTCTCACTTCCACAACTTGGGGGAAGGCACCCTTACTGTGCAGCTTTTGTAATATGCTGAAGACTCACCTCTCTGGAATAGTTTTGATACCTGAGAGATATATTTTCAGGACCCACCCTATTCCTGTTTCTAATGTTCAATTCTGCTGGTGTAGAGTGGGCACAGAATTTCAACACCTGGAACTGCCTCAATATAGCTGCCCACCTCCTTTGCTGGACTCCGTTGAAAACAGCTTCTACATGCAAATTAGGAAGTGACCTCTTCAGACAACAGAATGACTCTTCTTGTCTCTGCAACTGCAATCTCCTGGGTGATGTGAACACCATTAGGCAGTAAATGCGCATGTGTACTCCATCCGTTTCCCTCCCTCCCACCCCCATTGTGTGGCCCCGGGTGCTGGCAACCCATGCTATGCCACTGCCTGGGACTGCTGGTGAAAGGAAGGTAATACAAATACAGGCAACAGCCATAACCTCCTTCTTCCTCTTCCTCCTCTTATTGAAGATCACGGAACCATGGAATTGTAGAGTTGGAAGGGACCTCGAGAGTCATCTAGTCCAACCCCCTGCAGTGCAAGAATCTCAACTAAAGTATCAATGACAGATGGCCATCCAACCACTGCTTAAAAACCAAAGAAGGAGAATCCACCACCTTCCGAGGGCAGCAGTGAATTTGAGTACTGTAGTGCCCTGTGCAAGCCCAAAATTTGTCGCACCCCTCCAGCCCTCATGTTGCCTTCCCAAATACAGGTAAGGAGGCATCCAACTTTGGTAAGGAAGCGTAAGGGCTCTGGCAGGGTCCTAAAGCCCTCCACTTCCTTCCCAAAGCTGGGAAAGTGCAAACTAGGCTTTGGGAAGAATGAAGGAGGACTCTAGGACCCTGTCAGAGCCCTCACACCTCCTTCCTTGCGCCTTGCTTACCAGGCCCTCTCAGCACCCAATACATGCACACTGTTCACACAGCCCTAAATCTGTCCCTGCTGAGGGAGACAGTTCCACTGTTGAAAAGCTCTGACTGTCAGGAAATTCTTCCTGATGTTTAGTCAGAACCTCTTTTCTTGTAACATGGACCCACTGGCTCCAGCCCTACCTTCCAGAGCAGGAGAAAACAAGCTTGCTCCATCTTCCATGTGACAGCCCTTAAGGTATTTGTAGATGACTATCATATCTCCTCTTTTCCAGGCTAAACATACACAGCTCCTTCAAGCAGTCCCCGTAAGGCTTGGTTTCCAGACCCTTAAGCATCTTGGTTTCCCTCCTCTGCACACATTCCAGCTTGTCAACATCTTTCTTAAATTGTGGTGCCCAAAACTGGACACAGTATTCCAGGTGTAGTCTGACCAAGGCAGAATAGAGTGGGACTATTACTTAACTTGATCTGGACACTGTACTTCTGTTGATGCAGCCTAGAATAGCATTAGCTTTTTTTGTTACAAGTATGGCAGCTTAGCTTCTAATTTCCTTAGAGAACTGCTAGTTCAGGCTGAACTGTCTTATTCAGGAGGAACCCAGAATAAAGGCTGCAGAAACATTCTGAAGTAAATAACTAATACAGAACACTAAGAGTAACCAGTAGCTACAAACTGAGGGAGGTGAAAAAATCCCCTGGTTGTTTTCTTGGGGGCTTTGTTCTCCCATTCTCAGTTGTCTGCTCCTCCATTTGCTTCCATGATGTAGCTGACAAAAACCCAAGCAGTCTTGGGCACTGTACTCAATAGAAGGTTGTCTGGGTAACACGGCTCATTCTCCTCCATTCCCCAGAAAAGAAGGAAACATGACTGAATGGTACACACTCTGTGCCTAGAGGAAGTGCAACTTTTTTTGTTGCACACTTTCAGATCATACATGTGTGCAAGAGCATTTCACAGGTAAGGAATGGAGGGGAGGTTAGTTTCCTGCTGATGGAATATTTCAGCTGAAGCTTCTCTTTGGACACCCCAAGGTTATTGGCTCCCCAGTGAATAGGAAAGGCCCTCTTCCCACACCAGCACTGTCAGACAGCACTGAAGTTTCCCTTATTCAGTTTATGGCTTCTCTTTATCTTTCCTTTGTACACATGTGATGTTATGGTTCCCACATCCTGTGTTTTCTACCCTGAGATTCCTTAATAGGTGGGAATGTGCACAGCATGTCCCCCATTTTGTAGACCGAACACATGCCTGCTCTTTGAGGGTTTCTTCTACAAAGGGCAAAACATGCAAAATGAAAATAGCCTTCTGGAGCAGCTGTATGACATGCCCAGAGCAAGAACCAAACCAAGGCTCCCCCCCCCCCCCGCAGCCCATTTGCGTTCAGTGACCTGGCTGCATGACAGACATGCCACCTCCTTAGCCCAGGCTTTAGTGCCTTACGTAGGAGAGTTCTTCTAATATGTTCCTTCCTGGCAGATTGGTGGGTCTGATGTGGGTCTGATGATTCTGCAGCCGCTTTTTCAGATTTGGCATGCACTTTCCTTCCTGCTCCTAATATGAAGGGAGGAAGTGACTGCTCTGAGGCCCACCTGTCAGGGTCTGCAAGGGCCCACCTGGTCCTGTGTTTACCAGCAGGGCAAGGGAAAGAGCCTCTGCCCTTCAGCACTGATGTCCAACCTAGGCTGGCAGGCCCCAGCTCTTGCTGCTTCCATTCCTCCCTGCTTTCATAGATCTTTCCTTGTGCTAGGTAAAAAATAAGCCATTGAAGGAACTTGGCATGGGATGGCTGGAGTGGTATTCAGAGGACAAGGAGTTGCTCGGACAAGGTGTTAAAAAGCAACACCTGACAATCAAATTGCTTTGCTGTACTGAGCAATCTGCTCAATGGTCTTTTGATTTTTTAGGTAAAGGGGGCAACTGAGCTAGGCCATTCGTGCCTTCTGGCTCAATTCTTGCCTCAGAGCAGGCACGAGTCTTGCTCTATTTCTGCAAGATTTTGCTGGGCTAACCACAGGAAAACGAAGCACACTTTAGAGAACCGTGCTCCGGCAACTTTCAGGTTTGTCTATAGTGATACATCATATTGGGGTGGGGGCAAACCCTCCAAGTGTCCTGATTCTCCAGGGACAGTCCTAGAATTACAAAAGCCACCCCAGTTTCTGATTTAATCCCGGAATCTCCTGGTTTTCCCTTTTCCTCCCCTCCTCATCTCGATTAAAAGTGGTGGAGAGATGAGACACTCCAGCTCCTGTCCTTTTTGGAAACAGGAGACTTTGCTGTGTGTAGGTGCACAAACTGAGTCCTGTTTATACAAAAATAAAATACCTGCACCAAATGAAGGAAACGGTGAAACTGCCATATGAAGCCCTTCCTATAATTTCGAAGGAAAATGTAACCAATTCACTTTAAATTCTTCAGCAGCCAGACATTTTAAAGGAAATGTGTGGAGTGTTTATTTCTTTATTGTAACTGGAGCCTTACATTACAAGCCTTTACCTATCTACTCTGAAGTAAGTCCCACAGTATTCAATGGAGCTTACTCCCAGGTAACTGGGTAAAGACTGCACAGCCTTACACTGTAATCCTAAGCATTTTTACGCAGAACTAAGTCCTACTGAGTTCAATAGGATTAACTCTCTGGTATGTTCCTGATCATTCATATCGTTAACCCGTCTTTTTCCCTGACAAGGACTCAAGGCAGCTTACAGGTAAAATTTTATTTCATTCCATCGATCTGTTGATAGTGTTGTACATGATCTCTCCCCTCACATATTTTTCCTTTACAACAACCCTGTGAGGTAGGTTAGGCAGGCAGGTGGCAATTGGCTCAAGGTGAGCAATGTATGTGGGTACATGGTGTCTATGTGCGTGGCAGATCAAACGTGGGAGAAGCTTCCTGATGTAGAATACAATGTCCCTATTTTCATCAGAGAAATGTTGGTGGGTATGGGTGGGGGACAAGGGTCTCTTGCCTTCAAAAATGTTTTCAAAACTGCATTGGTGGTTATAAAATACTCTCCGCAGGAAGCCTTGCCTGGTGCCTAGCTTCATGTAGTTTTGTTGTCATGCCAAAGCCTTTTTATTCTCCCAGGCCTTTTAATTGTGAACTTCAATTTCTTATTATTATAGGATTTTATATCCTGCTCTGCCATCTACTGGTTTAACCTTTTATTGTTGTTGTTTTACATTTTCAACAGTGGTATTATTACATCTTTATCTGCATTGTAAAACTTCCGTGGGAGCTTTTTTTTTAAAAGGCAGTCTATAAGCAGCTTATATAAATATATTTCTAAATAAAATGCTCTGAAGTGGCTTGTCATCATAAAAATAATACTTGAATTATAACACAACAATATGGCTGTTCTGATTACGTATCAGCACTAGGTGGCAGTGTTGCGCTCACCCATTTTGACAAAGCTGGTTCTCCTCCAACAAATGTCAGCAGGGCGAACCCACTGGCTCTCCCATCTGCTCTCTCTGAAATAAATGGGAACAGGTTTGCCACACTGCAGAGTTTCTGAGTCTTCCCCCTCCTTTTTTGAAGTGCCCCAGTTCACTTACAACATGAAGATACCATCAGTCAACAGCTATTTTAATTAAACTGTCTTCAGTTGGCTCTTCAGTTAGCCCAGTCCTATAATTAAAGGGAATTTAATAAACACTACAAAGCCTATTTAATTTTTTTGTCTCTGAAACTAAAGCTGAACTTTCCCGACCTGCGATGAGCTGAGAAGCTGGCACCCCACTTTCCCACGTCTTGTTGCTTCTGCCGCCCTCCCCCCCCCCCCGCTGCCTCATTGCGCTCAGGTGGAAGTAGAGAAGCCTGTTGTTTTCCTCTTGCCCAGGGCTGTGGCTCTTGATGGCAGAAGTCAGGCGCAAGGCAAGGAGGGCGCGCAATGTTTTTCATTGCAGACATCCTCAGCCTGGCCCTGAGGGGTCTTTGCACTGAATCTTTCCCAGATTATCATGCCAGCCCCGATAGCCTCCCTCGTTGTGGCTGGGCTGCTTCTCTGGAAGGAAGGCCACATTTTCCAAGCACTGGATATGCTGAGGGGAGCTGTGACTCTTTTCACAGATAGGGCATCCATTGCTACCTGTAGATCAGGGGTCCCCAAACTAAGGCCTGCGAGCCGGATAAGGCCCGAGGGACTCGTTTGTCTGGCCTGCGGCGACCCCTGCCGCCCGCTCTTACTGGCGCTGCGCTGTGCAGCTGCCCACTTCCGGGTCGGAGGTGCACCAGAAATAGCTTGTGCGCATGCGCGAGTGTTATTTCCGGTGCACATCCGGGTCGGAGGAGGTCCGTGCACATGTGCACAAGCTATTTCCGGTGCTCCTCTGACCCGGAAGTGCGCCGGAAAGAGTGTGTGTGCATGCATATGGGCACGCCCTCCCCGCCCTCCGGCCCACCGCGCGATCGGCGCTGGAGACACCGGCCCGAGGTGCAGTAAGCTTGCTGACCCCTCCTGTAGATGCTATGCCCTGACATCTTGTCTGCAGAGGGAAGTGGTCAGAGACAGATTTAGGGGCACAGAGTCTTGGGGGTGTTGCCGAGGGTGCAACAAGTATACTTTAGAACGGAGCATGAGAGGAGCGGGGGGCAATGTTGGTGTCGCACAGGGGGCTGCTGAAGTCTGAGGCGCCAACATCTGTCATTTCAGTGGTTCCTTATTAGCACATATGTAGCTGCTTCTCGTGTCATAACATACATGCAGCCTCAAACCAATGGATCAGTTCAAGTTCTGTGGTTCTATTAAAAATAGACTCCTCAACTTTTTAAAAAAGACCCCTCTGTATCAGCGTGGTATGACTGATTCTGTGATTCTGTGTTAACACTACTAGAAATAAGAGGGCAGGTATTCATACTATGCAGACATATGAAACTCTTGATAGTTTCAAACCATAGTATCTTGAATAATCATTTTCAGGCTGCTTCTGGTCATCCACTCCCCAACTATATTATTTTGTTTCCTCATTATTGTTCTTTTACACCT